TAAGACTCTGATGAATATTATAATGAATTATTGAAATGTTTTCTTTAAATAATGCATGTCATTGATATATATAATGGGTTAATTTTAAGGGCGTTACACATTTATTTATTTATTTTTACCAAATTAATTTTTATTATGTGTTTGGATGATGATCATGTAATGGGTGGTTGTTTTTATTTTCATTAAATTAGTTTTTATTTTTTCAAAAGTCAAATATGGCGAAAACTTTGATATCATTATTAGACCAATCCATTAAATCAAAAAATTCAAAACTAAAAACATTTCATATATTAAATATATCGATTACAAATTAAAAGCTTAGTAACCATCCATTACATAATAAAATTAATTTAGTAAAAAAAATAAATAAATGTGTACAAAATTTATCAATTTTACATAATTTTATCTTTGGTAGGTAAAAATAATTTTTAAAAATTCAAAAACATTTTTTTGACATTTATTTTTGTCAAATTAGTTTATATTTTATTAAATTAACAACTTTGTCTTTAAAATGGAGTAATGGTATCTTCAATTATCCTTATTTGGAACAAGATTCAAAATTCAAGGTTAAATGTGTAACAATTGAAAAGTTAGGGACCAAAATGACACAAGCCTCAAATTATAGGGACTGTTATTCACCCTTTTGTAAATATGCAGTATCTCATGCTTGTCATCATATCCATACTTTGCATCCATGCTTTATGCCTTAAAATCTACAGATCTAAAAAATATACAGATCTCACAAAGTTTGAATCATCTCCAACAATCAATACACAGTAAGAGACCTAGACAACACAACTTTCTCTAAATTCTAATTCACACCAAATTAACTATATCACTAAAAAAACCCAGAAAGTAAAACTCCAAAATTTACCCAAATTTTGGGTTCTTTCTTGCACATTCGGCGATGAAACAATCTCAGATAATGATGATAATGGGGGAAAGAAACCAGCGGCCTCACCACTCTTTGTGAGGGAGGAGCCACCAATCGAGCTTTCGTGGGTGATGGATCGCAGGCGACGGTGACCAAGAAGGAGGTGAATTAGTTCTTTGGTTGTCGGTGAACATGAGTAGGAGCAGCGGGGGAGAGCTGTTTCGTGGCTGGTGGAGTGACAGTGAGAAAGGAATGGGAGAGGAGCAGCATAGAGGGAGCAGAAGTAGTGGAGGGAGGAGCGTTTATATATGGCTGGTGGACCAAGCGGGGACAGAAGGAGGGTGAGAAGTAGCGGGGAGAGAGAGAGAGAGAGAGAGAGAGAGAGAGAGAGAGAGAGACTAGTTTGTTTAGGGTTTGGTTGGGAACAAAATATATATGGTTATTGGTCATTTTACACAATTCGCGACTAAACATTTTTGTCGCCAATTAATTTTATAAATCCCTCCAAAATTTGAAATGTCTCCCTCCAAGTATTTTAGTTCTTTGGTGACTAAAAATTTTTTTAGTCACTGAAAATAAATTTTTGGCGACCAAACTTTTGGTCGTCAAAGATAAAAAGTAAGTTTTTGTTTTTCATTTGGCGACTAAATAATTTTAGTAGTCAAAACTAACTATACAACGAGTAAAATATTTTTTAGTCGCTAAAAATAAATTTTTTCCGCCAAAGATAAAAAGTAAATTTTTGTTTTTCATTCAACGACTAAATAATTTTGTAGCCCAAACTAATTATACAGCGACTAAAAAATTTTTTAGCCGCTAATAATTAATATACCCCAACTAAAAAAATTAGCGGCCAAATATTGTACTTTTGCCGACTAATATAATTTTTGGTCACCAATTTCACAACTTTTAGCAACTAAATTTTTTTTAGTCGCCAAAAGTGTAATTTGTTGTAGTAATATTGTTGTCCATCCCTATGATGTAAGTGTATTTGTCCTGTAATGTTTGAGGGTTAAGTCTTTATACTCTTAATGAAATTTTGTAACTCTTGTTGAGTGGGATGTGTAAGTTATAAGAACATCCTTGACAGATTTCACATATGTGAGCATGGAAGTGGGGCCGCTTTCTATGAGAACAATGCTTATTCTCAAATATGCTCATGAAAACTGGAATTAGCACAAGGTCGTAATGTGCTGATTGTTAAAAGTTCATGTTAACACCTGGATCATTATGTATGAGTAGAAATAATATATTTCCCTTAAGTAGTCACAGTTCAAGTCTGAGACCACTACTGACTCTGGAATAGAGGTTGTTGTTTTAATGATGAAAGTTCAATGCAACCTTCATGATGCATACTAGTCTATCTTTGTTTGGTAATTTCTTTTGTCCTTGTTGATATTAAAATGAGTGGAGGATTGTTGGACCATTTTAATATCTTTTATTTATTTGTTTGTTTTGGTGACCTGTTGTTTTGTTCATGAATGAATATTATTGGAAGGTCATGGGCTTTGGTGGTGAGTTAGTATTTTGGAAGTTTTGGGACTCTCTATTTTCTCTAGTTTAATGATCATTATTTTTTGGTATAATTTGTAAGGTCCTAGTAGCCTATAAATTATTCCTCTCATCTACTCATTTCTATACTAACTATTTTTACACTTGAGAAATTACTAGCCAAAGAAGGGCTTTTTTCTTGGTGGAGCTTTTAGTTCACCATCTTGTGCATAGTTAGCTTGAACCATATGATCAATGATCGGGTTGTTGTATCTTAGAGGAAATAAGTCAAAGTTTAGTGACTGCTGCATCAATATTTGGGTTCTTCCTAACGCAGTGGGCTTGATCTCCTTAAAGAAAACAAGATATCTGTGCACCGACTTGATATATGTGCATCAACTTGATATATTTGTATCATATTTTCTTTGCATTATTTATCATTAAAATATTATTATTCTGGTATTGTCACCAGTGGTAGAGCTATAAAGGGACAAAGGGGGAATATCATTATTCTGATATATTTGTAAATTTATTTATTTATTTATTTATGTATTTATTGCATATAAGGAAAATAATTAATCAATAAAAAAATTATATAAAAATAACATTTAGAATAATTTCTGAATGATATTTTTCAAATTACAAAAATAATAATAGTTGTTTTGATTGAAAATGAAAAAAATTACAACAAATCACATTATTAAAAAAATTTAGTGTAATAGTCATATCAAATCATCACTTACATGTAAATATAGTTAACCCCACTACGAAAATGGAAAATTATTGAATTATTAATTATATTTAACAAGTGTGATTGGCATTTCATGCGTCATTTTACTATTAATTAGTAATATCATATATCGATGATAATGTGATATCACTATTATTTATATATTATTATATAATCTATTATATGACATACAAGACTCTTTTACATTGCCTATAATACACTAGTTACAAGTAACATCATATATTTCAATTCTGATTTTTCATAAGGTCAATTGTAAAAATCAAAAATTTAAAAATTTTATATTAAATATTTAAGATTTTGTGTG